CTAAAGCTCTCTCAACCTCTACTGAAGAGGGAGAAGTGGGGGATAGATCTTGCCTAAGACCCCCACTAAAAGGGGGCAGCCTAGTCTCCTAGGAGAGAGAGGTCTGCACAGCCTTTGGGGAGATTGAGAAGGTTAGGGGCCCCATTGGGGTCGCTTTAGGTGAAGTAGAGGTCACCTCCAGTCTTAGAACTTTGGAAGTTGAACCACTCCTTGATTCGGCCTCGACCTTGCGTTTACTTCCACTCCTGTTCTTTCTCATCAAAGATAGCTTGACATTCTGATCATTCGCGATTGGTTCCATCAAAGAAGAGCCTGGAAACCCAACGAAGAACCAACATGAGAAAAAAAAAAGAGGGAGGAAGTAAGTTTAACAAAAAAAAAGGGGGGCAAGAGCGAATGTGGAAAGGAATGTTACCTGCTACCTCCTCAACTCTGACAATGGAGAGTGGGATGGGGGCTTCTACTGTTACATCTAGAAGGCTGAACCCATCCCTTACCAGAACCCAAGGCTTGATGAGTTCAGAATATTTTTCTGGTTTACGTTTCTCCAACCTCAGCAGCACCTATTCGTCCTTAACACTGAGCTCAGGTCGAACACCTAAAAAATAAAATAAGACAGGACAAGGTCAAGAGGGCTCTCCAAATTTGAGCTTGGATAGTTTGAACAAGGACTTACCCAAGTTATCGGGGGCAGACCAGGCTCTAGGAATGAGGAGAGTATCTGTTTTATCAGTCGAATTGTACTCCCAGTGTTCTACCCACACAAAGAAGAAAAGTTTTCTCCAGCCCTTATGGGAGTTCAGGAGGTCAGAAATAATCTGTTTAGCCCTTACCCGTTTAGAAACGTACAAGAAGTCGTCGGTCGTGGCAAGATATCTATGACANCTTTTCAGCATTCCAAGGAAACTCAAAAACAACCATATTTTCCTCTCCCTCTGGTAGGAGAGGAACATGTGGAAGGTCAGCTGAAACAAGGGGATCTTCAGATAGGGCATGTGCTAAAACCTTGACCTCAACAATGGTAACTGGGGGCAGAACAATCTCGTGGATTCCCACCTCCACAGAAGTAGCCACCTCAGGATAAGTTGGCAGAGAAGGAACAGACTCAGGAGTTTCGACCTCAGCCTTAACAAGGGCACTTGGAAGAGGGGTAACCTCGAAAGCCTTGACCTCAGTCGTCTTCTCCTCAACCTCAGCAACTGATCCTTCTTGCTCCTCACCCAATGGGGGTTTGAAGCCGAAGTCCACCCCTAGATACTTGTCTATTGGTTGCACTTGAAAGGCAAAATAGCCCTTCATCTTCAAGCTCGGCAACCTTAGAGTCCTTCTCAAGCACCTTGGCCCTCTCTTCCTCAATCTCCCTTAGATAGACAACATTCACTTTAGCAAGCTCCTTGAAGTCATTCACTTCATAGCCTAAACAACATTACGAGTGTCAAAAACATCTTTCTTTGCTTAGACCAGACCTTCCATCTTAAGCTTGACCTCATCGCTCTTCTTCTTGACCTCGACCTTAATGTCCTTATTTGTCAAGCTCAGGCCTTGCATCTGAGCCTTTAGGTCTTGCACTTGAGCTCTGAGGTCATTATTAGGGAAGCACAATTATGAAAGCTTAAGCTCATAATCCTTCAAGGACTTCTAGGTCACCCCTACAACCTTCTTTGAGGCTCGAACCCTTCCCACTAGGGCTCCCACATGGATTGCCATCTGTAAAAATAGATGAGACCTAAATTCAACATTATTGAGGTAAAAGTTTAACCTAGATTGAAGGCGTAGTAACTAGAAGCTTACCAAGGTTGCTCCATAAAGAGTAGTGGCGCCCTGCACAGCAGGCTTCTTAGGCCCAAAAAGAGCTGTAGAAACCCCAACTAGAGACTTGGGGTTAGACGGAGTCTTCTATAGGGGAGGGGACCCCTGGGGTGGAGGTGGTACCTTCTACAGAAGTAGGGACATATGTTCCTTCCTCATGGTCTTGGAATGGCGTTCCAGATCAGGCTCATTGCTGACCTCTACCTTCATCTTCCCTACCACTTTCTTATGCCTCATTTTGGCCATCCTAGCCTTTACCACGACAGCATCCGGAGCCATGGAGCTTGAACCTTAAAAAAAAAAAAGAGGAAGAAAATAAAATATTAAGTATAAAGTATAAGGCAGGGGTCTTACGAGCAGTTTCCTCCCCACCAAGAATGGTTAGTGGTATAGGGGTCTCAACTCTCACCTCGAGAGAACTTAACTTGTACCGAATGATCACCACAGGCGTGAGAAGCCCTGAATACGTTTCAAGTGGACACTCCTCAAGGCCTAACATGACTATCCTCTCATATGCATCGAGCTCAAGACAATTAATTGAAACACAAAAGCCAAAGAAAGATTCAAACTAGATCACCTCGATGAGGACTTACCCAAATTGTCTAGGCTTGACTAAGTTCGAGGCACAAGAAGAGTGTCGGTGGCATCCCTTGGGTTAAATTCCCACTCCTTCCCAAACATGAAGAAGAAGAGTTTTTTCCAACCCTTATGGGAGGTAGGTGATCAGAGATAAGGTCTTCACATATTTTGAAATATATAGAAAGTTGTTGGTAGGGGAGAATTTGATGTTGAAAAAATTCACAAACAGGGGAACAGAAAGGGCACCTAGGTCATTCTTCTTAAAAAAAGACCAGGAGACCCACTAGAATGACATAGAAGTTGAGAGAAAGTTGGGATGGAAAAACATTGAAGGGTTAAAGCACATATTGGGGGAAAGGATAAATGTGGAATCTAAGACCATTCACAAAAGAAACAACAAAAAAATAGATCTTCTTAGGCAGTACAGTGTCATACCGGATGTCCATGTGTGGAGACCAGTAGTGCATGCCCTTGGGAAAGCCAAACCTCGCAGAGAGAACACTTAGAAAAAGGGGGTAACATTGCCGAACCCGACGAGATCTGATGCCCAGGGCTCAACGTCAACGTCCCTAGCACTTCCAGAGGTCCCAGTTCTGCATTTCTTAGATCTCCTTTTTTTGAGATTTCTTAGACTTCGAGACTGGGCTTGGTAGAAGCAAAGGAACCTCAACCTCGGTAGCCTAGGCATCAACACCAGGGAAGTTGTCTATCTCATCGCCCATGTCTTCTAGGTTGTCTACCTAGTTAGGATCCTCAAACTGCCTCCTATAATAAGGTCAAACCTCAAACTCGAGTTATCTATCACCTATGACAAGAGAGACCGAAGAAGTAGTAGCTTCAAAAGAAGCAGACATAACAAAACAATAAAAAAGGAAAGTCGAAAAAGGTGTATAAGTAGGGAATGTTTGAGAAACAATCTAGGAAATATTACTGCAATGTCATTATTCTCATAAACACATTCATATAAAGAATATATTCTAGATGTTAGTCACACTATTAAAATTTATTAATACTGGTGTCAAGTGATAACTAATTCACAACCTAGTTGTTTCTAAGTATCCATTGAGTCATCTAAGAGGTGGTTTTCTCCTAAGTTTGTTAGGATTATAAATTATGGACTAACAAGAAAATAATGTATTTCAATTTGAAAACCTAATCTGATATAAGTTAGCCTGACATTTAAATTAGTGTCACAAACCGTTACAAAATAGTAAGAGACTCCTTTAGCCTGATGTTTAAACATTTAAAATAGTGCCACAAACTTCTACAAAATAGTAAGAGGCTCCTTTTAGCCTAATGTTTAAACATTTAAAATAGTGCCACAAACTGCTATAAAATAGTAGGATACTCCTTTTTTTCTGAGTGTAATTACTCCCTGAACTTTAAGTTTGCTCTCTTCATGTCAAAAGCTTTGGCCATTTTTTTTAACAATTTATGATGTGTGACTTATTGTTCATTGAAGTTAAAAGAAAACTATATGAGTAGAGAGAGAAGCTCTTACTTCTCTCTAGGATTTTTTCCTTTCATGAGTTCTTCACCAGGTTCATCCCTAATACCTCCAAAACTGTCAAATTTACAACCTGTTCATCTTTCACAACCCACTCCATCATATGCTTCACTCTTTAAATAGCCATCAAAATCCATTTTAGAGGAAGAACCAACGATTAAACTTGAAAAACCAGTTGTGTTTTATGAGGGAGAGCTAGCCTTCTACTTCACTAACGAAGAAGTACAACAATCTTGTCTATCCCTTCAATATACGTTAATAGGCAAATGTGCCTATGGTCGTCCAAGTTTGGGAGTGATAAGAGAAGTAATACGTTCTGAATGGGATTTGAAAGGAGGTTTTGAAATAGGTTCTATGGATCCCAGACACATATTGATTCGGTTTGAGAAGCATGAAGACTATGTAAAGAATTGGTTGAAGGATGCTACCATGATTGAAGACTACTTGTCCAGATTTTTTAAATGGTTCCCCGTATTTTTGCCTGGCATAGAGGCTTCCGTTGTTCCTATGTGGATCTCTTTACCCGGGTTGCCATTGAACTTCTTTAAAAAGCCTTTATTAGAGCTATTAGTAAAACCTATTAGAAGAGTCCTAGCATACGACCAAGCTACACTCTCTTTATCCAGGTCTTGGAGTTGCTAGAGTGTGCGTTGAGGTCAATTTACTAGCAAACAACCCCTCTAGGTTTTGGCTAGACATGGGAGATGAGGACGCCTGCTAGCAAAGGATTGTATATGAAAAAAATAAAATTTACAAAGGCTGCAGAAAGCAGGGGCACAATGAAGCTGAATACAGGAAGAAAAAGCCATTGTTTCGGGTGAAGGTTTCAGAGGAAGGAGCATCACCACTAGATAATGGGAAAGATTCTAGAGAGATACACAAGGAAACTACTAAATAGAGGAAAAGAAAGAATATTCTTATTCTAGGACAGGAGAGCATTCAAATTCTAGAATTTGGCAATCAGGTAAAGAAACAAATGGATTTATTCCAATCACACAGAAGAGTATAGCAGCAAGGATTTTGGAAAGTACACAACCCGCAGAAGGAAATAATTGATAAAGGAAAGATGGTAGAGGGAAACTCTAACAAATCTTTACAAAAAGAAATGGTGGAAATTATAGGGAATGTTTCAAATTCAATCCCAGTAATTTTGGAAGCAGGTGATCACTCGGGTAAAGATATGGAAACTTCCAAATTACAGGATCCTCCAATTAACGACTTCCCCCAAGTCAAGGAATTTCCAAACGTAGATAGGCCAATTTCAAACAATGGGTTAACTATCGTTGACAATCCCATGAACCCCCTGAATCCACCAGCACTAGCAGTCGTATGTCCTATGGAGGGACCCTGTAGACTACATGAGCAATGTTTATCATCCACTTTCCTGGTGCATCATCATTATACTTGCAAATAAGGCGCTGAGGTCTCTTTGGATGATGAGATGGGTTAAACACGCAGAAAGGAGCCTCCGGACAAAGGTTTTTATTCAGACAATGATATTACTTTGTATATTGATCTGAGTTTGCAAGACCCTGATTATCAAAGCATTGAAGAGCATCAGAATGCAATTCATATTCCCTCTCAATCAGATTCTCAACATTCAGATTCTAATTTAGGGGGAAAGAAACAACTCGAAAAAGTCCAATGTATCCCCCATATGGGTATGACTACTATATCCAAGTCTAGCAAAGTTTCTCAATCCACACATTTAAATGATTAATATTGTATCATGGAACATGAGAGGAGCNAAAGAAACAACTCGAAAAAGTCCAATGTATCCCCCATATGGGTATGACTACTATATCTAGGTCTAGCAAAGTTTCTCAATCCACACATTTAAATGATTAATATTGTATCATGGAACATGAGAGGAGCAAATAAGGAATCCTCAAGATTAAGGTTGCAAAAATTAGTTCGATCGAACAATGTTGGTTTAGTTGCTGTTTTAGAGCCAAAATTGTTGTCGGTCAAGTTAAGAAGACTGTGTCTTAGTGTTGGGTTCTCTTTATCATTAGCTAATCCTTTAGTAGAGAAATATATTTGGGTTCTTTGGGATCATAGGATGCAAGTGGAGACTTTTTCAATTCACAAGCAAGCTCTTATAGTTAAAGCATCTTACATGGGTTCCTTGCCTTTTATGGTTTCATTCGTCCATGGCAAGTGTGATCATATTCTTCGAAGGTCCTTATGGGCCCATCTTTCCACATTGTCAACTTCTAATATGCCATGGATGGTGGTAGGGGATTTCAACACTATTGTGTCTTCAACAGAAAGGAAAGGAGGTTTGCCTCCTAGTTTATCCACTATGCATGAGTTCATCTCGTTCATTAATGCAGCTAGCTTACAAGATTGTGGCTACACTGGAACAAATTTTACATGGTGTAACAACCAAGAAGGTATGGCTAGAATGTGCCAGTGTATTTGTAGGGCCCTAATGAATGTTGAGTGGGGTGAAAGTTTTTATAGTGTAGTTGTGGAGCATGCGGCTAAAGGTTCCTCTGACCATTGTCCTCTGATTATCAAGAACTCGGAAGATGCTGCTCCCAAAAGGATATCCTTTTTTAAATTCATGGAAATGTGGGTAGAACACTCGGGATTCTTGTCGTTAGTACAAGCTACTTGGGTGGGTTCTTACTCTACAAATCCCATACATAATTTATTTCTTAGGCTCAAGTATCTCAAAGCCCATTTAAAAACTTGGAACAAGGAAACATTTGGAAATGTGTTTGATAATATCAAGAGGCAGAAACAACTATTGTTTCAAGTAGAGATTGAGATGGAAAGGCATGATTCTATGGCAAATATCTCATCAGTGGAAAGGGCAAGAAGGGAGTTGGATAATGCACTAAGAATAGAAGTGATATTTTAGAGACAAAAAGCCAATGTGCAGTGGACTATTGAGTGGGACAGAAACACAAGATTGNATGGAAAGGCATGATTCTATGGCAAATATCTCATCAGTGGAAAGGGCAAGAAGGGAGCTGGATAATGCACTAAGAATAGAAGAGATATTTTAGAGACAAAAAGCCAATGTGCAGTGGACTATTGAGTGGGACAGAAACACAAGACTATACCACGCCATAGCAAAAGTCAAGTCATCTAGAAGCAGAATTCAAAAGATTAAGAATGAGGAGGGTATTTGGGTGGAGGAAGAAGCTCTAATTGTAGGTTGTGCAGTGGACTATTTTTTTGGCCTTTACACTTCAGAATCCCATTACATTGAGGAGGAAATATTTTCCTTTATCCCCAAATTGGTTACAGAGGAGGACAATCTCATGCTATTGACCCTAGTTTCTTTGCAAGAACTAAAGGAAGTCGTCTTTCATATGTTGGTGCATAGTGACCCAAGTCCGGATGGTTTCTTAGGTAAGTTTTTTCAAACAACCTGGGATATAATTAAGGATGATCTTTTAGAGGCTGCTAATTTTTTCATGCAAGGGGGAGTGGTTCCTAGATCGATTAATGCTATATTGCAGTCTCTTATTCCTAAGATTGAAAAGCCTTCGTCCATTTCAGAATTCAGGCCAATTNGCACGGGATAGTGTAAGTTCGCAATAATTGGGGTAGACTACTTTACCAAATTGGCCGAGGTGGAATGCCTTGCAAAGATCATAGAGCAAAAGATCTAGAACTTCACTTTTAAATCAATAATCTGTAGATTTGGGATCCCAATGGTACTTATCTAAGATAACAAAAAATAGTTTGATAATTCAAGGTTCAAAGGATTTGTGGGGAGCTTGGTATAAAGAATTATTTCTCGGCACCAGCTCATCGTCAGTGAAATGGACAAGTAGAGGTGATCATCTAAACCATCAAGGCGGCTTTGAAAACCGAGCTCAAAACCTTAAAGAGCCAATAGGTAGAACATTTACCAGGGGTACTATGGGCCTATAGAACCACCACCAGAATAGCCACAAATGAAACACCATTTGCCCTAGCTTATGGCACTGAGGTGGTGGCCCTTGTTGAAATAGGCATCCCATCCCCGAGAGCAGAGCTCGCAAAATGACGAGTCGCTACATATCAATCTTAACCTCTTGGATGAGAAGTGGAATAACACCCTGCAGCGCATCATTAACTATCATAGAAAAATAGAATGACACTACAAAAAAAGGGTCAAATATAGGAGTTTAAAGTGGGGGACATGGTTCTCAAAAAGCTCCTCTCAGCCAAGAAGGACCCCGNACATATCAATCTTAACCTCTTGGATGAGAAGTGGAATAACACCCTGCAGCGCATCATTAACTATCATAGAAAAATAGAATGACACTACAACAAAAGGGTCAAATATAGGAGTTTAAAGTGGGGGACATGGTTCTCAAAAAGCTCCTCTCAGCCAAGAAGGACCCCGAGCAGGGAAAGCTTGGGCACAACTGGGAAGCCCTGCACATTGTGACCAAGATAGTTAGACCAAGGAATTACGAGCTACAGTCCAAGGAAATAAGAGCTCTGCCTCACTCATTGAATATTGATCACCTGAGGAAATTATATCAATAGCTGAGAAAAACCAAGAATCCTGTTTTTATAAAAATTTCAGGTCAATTGTACTTCTTCAGCTCATAAATAAAGATGAGCTCTTTAGCTCATAAAACAAAGATGAGCTCTTCAGGTCATAAATAAAGATCAAATAAAGATGAGCTTTTTAGCTCATAAAAACAAATATGAGCTCTTTAACTCATAAATGAAAGATAAGCTTCTCAGCTCATAGGTTAAAAAAAAAAAAAGAACTCCTAAGCTCGAAGATGAGCTTCTCAGCTCATAAGCAAAAATGAGCTCCAAAGCTTATAACCAAAGAAGATCTCTTAAGCTCAGGAGTGAAGCCACAAGCATAAATAAAGAGAAAAAACCTTTAACTCATAAAAAGCGATCTCCTCAGGCCTTGAAGATGAGCACCCAAGCTCGAGGTAGCAACATACTTCATAATATGTAAGGATACAAGGTGGTAGGAAAAAGTATTCCCTACGCAATGATCTGGTGGAATGAATAGACCTCACACCTGAGTATTTTTAGCTAGCAAAGTTCCTTCTAGAAGACCAAAACTCTCCTCGAAGCAAGGGGCAAAGGAGGAAAGGAAGAAAAATTAAATAAAAGCAAGATGTGCAAATGTTCTTTTCTCATTCAGACTTCCTTTTTTCACAAATTACAAAGCAAAAAAGATGGAAAGACCTAGTATCTACTACGAGATCTGCAACCTTTTCAGCATCCCAAGGAAACTCAAAAACAACCATATTTTCCTCTCCCTCTGGTAGGAGAGGAACATGTGGAAGGTCAGCTGAAACAAGGGGATCTTCAGATAGGGCATGTGCTAAAACCTTGACCTCAACAATGGTAACTGGGGGCAGAACAATCTCGGGGATTCCCACCTCCACAGAAGTAGCCACCTCAGGATAAGTTGGCAGAGAAGGAACAGACTCAGGAGTTTCGACCTCAGCCTCAACAAGGGCACTTGGAAGAGGAGTAACCTCGAAAGCCTCGACCTCAGTCGTCTTCTCCTCAACCTCAGCAACTGATCCTTCTTGCTCCTCACCCAATAGGGGTTTGAAGCCGAAGTCCACCCCTAGATACTTGTCTATTGGTTGCACTTGAAAGGCAAAATAGCCCTTCATCTTCAAGCTCGGCAACCTTAGAGTCCTTCTCAAGCACCTTGGCCCTCTCTTCCTCAATCTCCCTTAGATAGACAACATTCACTTTAGCAAGCTCCTTGAAGTCATTCACTTCATAGCCTAAACAACATTACGAATGTCAAAAACATCTTTCCTTGCTTAGACCAGACCTTCCATCTTAAGCTTGACCTCATCGCTCTTTGTCTTGACCTCGGCCTTAATGTCCTTATTTGTCAAGCTCAGGCCTTGCATCTGAGCCTTTAGGTCCTACACTTAAGCTCTGAGGTCATTATTAGGGAAGCACAATTATGAAAGCTTAAGCTCATAATCCTTCAAGGACTTCTAGGTCACCCCTACAACCTTCTTTGAGGCTCGAACCCTTCCCACTAGGGCTCCCACATGGATTGCCATCTGTAAAAATAGATGAGACCTAAATTCAACATTATTGAGGTAAAAGTTTAACCTAGATTGAAGGCGTAGTAACTAGAAGCTTACCAAGGTTGCTCCATAAAGAGTAGTGGCGCCCTGCACAGCAGGCTTCTTAGGCCCAAAAAGAGCTGTAGAAACCCCAACTAGAGACTTGGGGTTAGACGGAGTCTTCTATAGGGGAGGGGACCCCTGGGGTGGAGGTGGTACCTTCTACAGAAGTAGGGACATATGTTCCTTCCTCATGGTCTTGGAATGGCGTTCCAGATCAGGCTCATTGCTGACCTCTACCTTCATC